GAAAAAGGCCGAAGCGTACAACGGCTGAAAACGTTGTAATAAATATGGTGACAAAGATGAGTACAATAGTCCGAATAATCTAAATAGGGTAAGATTATTATATGTAAATTATTAGCTCTAATTCTTAGGTTTTCTATGAATTCATTCTTCGCCGGAATTATTAACACTATACCTGTGTTTTATCAATTCTATTTAGTGATCTGTTTTATTCAAGTCGTTTTCTTTCTCCAGAACTGTGTGCCCGGTGAACGATAGTCAAGCCAGGCTTTTTTTTTTTTTATCGTCAAATTTATTCGAATTCTTTCTCTTCGACTACAATAAATGCTTGTGTTTACCTTGAATACCCAAAATTTTCACCCGGACCAGAGACGTTGATAATAATAAACACTGACGCAGAGGCTTTTAATATAAATGAAAGACGCCTACTCGTCACAACAACCTCAGCTCAAATGTTAAAACCATGACCCAAACTAAAAGTGCCTGGATACCATGGTATGTTGGATTGAGAATAGTTTATATCTCACTCTGTTATTGCTTTCACCTCTCAAAAAAGGGTCACATGTTACCCCCTAAAATTTACAGCTTTATGGTTTTATGATCGCAAACAAGGTACACAATTAAACAAAGAAGGAACAACTAGGCTATACGACAAACGCAAATAGTGCCGTCGACTTTAATACAGAATTATATATATATATATATATATGTGTGTGTGTGTGTCTGTGTGTTTTAGTAAGTAATAAAACGTAACCGCTAGTAAATGACAAAAAATAATTTAGAAATCTATACACGTGGGTTAAAGATCACTTTTGCAAACACTTATACGAATCGTTTAAAAAAATACACTCTTCTATATATCTTTCTAGGCGAAATTATTCTAATAATTCCTTTAGGTATCAACTTATATGAATATGCAGGCTTTGCAAACATACTCATTCTACTTGGGAGACTGATTGATTCGTTTTTTTTACGGATTATCAACCCTTTGCAGGTTACTTAAAACCAGAATTGTTTCTAGATTTTAATAATTTCCAATATTTTTTTCTAGAGATAGAAATGATTTAGGGAGTCTTACTAATTAACCCTTAGCTGGAGGAGAAGAATGTTCTTGCGCGTAAATGAATATAAACCCAACTGGAATTGGAACTCGGCTCACCGATTAACAATTCCGAGACATTATCTAATACGCCACCCTCACATCCAAGCTTACAGCACCAGGTATTTCCAAGCGTTTACCCATGTAGGTAGGTTCTTTCGCTCTCATTAGCACCCTTGGCTCTTTCGCTCTCATTAGCACCCTTGTGTCTTAGTGGCATTATCGCCTTGCTTGGGGTGAATTAATTTCAAAAATAGTGTTATTATTGACTAAGCTTAGTTCAGTTTTATAACTGGTCAGTAATAAGCCACCCAGTAAGGAACAAGCTCAACAAAGTGGTAATAAGCTACAGTGCAGATATCCGTCAGCCTCGGAAGTCTCTGGGGTCGACTTGGGTGACTGATGTAGACGTTTGCTCAGCTATATTTCGGTTTACCGACTTCTTGAATTTAAACACAGAACTAAATAGGGAACCAGGTCTCATCGTCCTACAGTCGAAATGTAACCATATGTTCTATGTAAATAGATGTAACCCTAAGTTCTACGCCAACAGTTTCTTTTCTCGCACTTCTTGCTTGTGGAACTCTCTTCCGTATTCATCCTTTCCAGTCAAATTTGATCTTCAAAAATTTAATTTGGTTATTTTCTTTAATTGCTCTCTCTCTCTCTCTCTCTCTCTCTTCCTCGCTAATAGTATTTTTTTATATTCTAACACACACACACAATATATATATATATATATATATATATATATATATATATATATATATATATATATATAGTCGACTCTCCTGTCGATTTCGACGTATGAGAGTCAAGCAGATCAGTTTCCAGGAAACCGACAGCCCGACAACGACACATGAGATTTGATTATAGTGGTGAAGGCTTCGTGCAGGACCATCCACACTTTTTGAAAGGCCGAATTCAGAGACCTGGTGCACTAAGTGCCACAAGGTTCCAAAACAACCCTCCGCAGGTTTTGAATTCAGAGTTGTCCTTCTCCTAGACCAGTTGCCATCCAAGGCTATAGAATCCAGTCTGTCCTGCTATTTTACCCATAGCTGGAGGGAGAAGAAGAGGATTCACACCTTTCCCAAGGGTATTAGCACGTAAGTGAATGTAATTCGCGTTTCGTCCTCTGAGGAAATTTATCAAGGCAAAATCTTTTCCTGATAAAGTCCATCAGCTGTCGAAGCATCAGATATGAAAGCTAAATTTAATTAATTTTTATATAGTTTTTCCATCAATCTTACATTTTCCCGTTTGGTGGGACTGTAAAAACCGTCCATATTGTCCCAAAACCTTTCGGTCATTTCTTTAGCTTAATTGCTTTAGGTGTTGGTAATTTTTCTTCATATTTTCCCAGTTTAAGATATATTTTATTTTTGTATTGTTTGGAATACTAGTAGTAGTGTTTATTCCGGGCCTACGCATGTTGAACGCCGCTGGAATTTCAGTGAGCGCCTTTCTATTTTTCAGAAACTTTCAACATTCCATTCCCACTGTTAAATAAGGTGAGGTTGATAGTGGGAGCTAAATGTTTTATATACAATGCCTCTCATATATATATATATATATATATATATATATATATATATATATATATATATATCAAATAAATTTTATACTATCATATCAATGTTATATGTATATGTTTAAATTCACCAGAGTCACTTCATACTACATATGTGAATAGACATCTTGTGTTTATAAACAGTGAACTTAATGTCTACCGCCCCAGACATCGAAATTCATATTGAAGAAAATGTGCCTTCCGAAACTGCTTCCTCTATTCTTAATCTTGTGAAGAACTTTCAATCCAAGTGTGCTTTACTATCTGGCCACAGGAAGTCTTCACAGCAAAACGAAGCTTAATTCCCCTATTCAAGAAATGTATATTTCTCGCTGGGACCTTTTAGAAGTCTATAACTGGTAACTTTATTTCCGTACTCGAAGTATCTTTTAAACAACCAGACACCCATTTCTAATTACCTCATGGCGTGGCGATCCAACCCTCGTTGACTTATTTAATATCAATTTTTTTTTATTGGTCACACAGAGGAAACTTGCTACTCAGTAATAATGGTCAACTAGACTAGTTTCTCTAACCAGAACCCCCATGCCGAGGTGATCCAATCATTGTTAGGTATATTGACTTTTATGGGTCAAACAGTGAGGATCAAACTTCGTATTCAGTAGTAACGGTCAACTTGATTAGCCACTCTAATCATGATCAAAGCAAAATCTCTTTAAACCTCATTGGGTCATTCATTGTTAAATTTTTGTATGAGTCATTTGTAAGGACAGAACTCACTACTCAGTCATGATGGTCAACCACGCTAACCTTTTCCTCAGTACTTCCAAATCTTTTCTTAAAAAAAAAAATACCCTGATAAAAAAAGGCGCTAAATTTGATAAACACAAAGTTTTATCGTCATAATTTTTATTACTATTAAAGGGATTGACCTATGTATTTTTTTATAATTTATAAATGTTTTTTTTTTTTAATCCTTTCTAGCACGTTCGAAATTTTGGTTAAAATCTTGTTTTTCTTGCGACAGCGTGTGGACCAATGATTAGTATAGGAATTTTTAGCGTGTTTTTGGCGTTAAAAGCAAATTTGGAAATGCTTGCAAGAAATCAAATAATTATCAGATTTTAATGAAATTTTCTTAACTTATTCTCAAATGAATAAAATTATTTTAGAAATTTTTTTTTTTTTAAATCTTGATTAAAATACGTTTTTGTTTTCATCTGTTACCCCACTTACTTAATTTTATGAAATTTTGAGAAATTAAAATTCCAGCCCCTTCATATTTATCTTGGTTTAAAGCAGGACGCCTTGGAGAATTTAAATCATCAATTGTCAAAAAGAAACACCAGCTTTGTCGTATTTACTTAATAAATCATGTCATAGTATCATGAGTAATAAAACATGTCTATTATATCAAGGCATATGTATACCCAAGCGTCACCTACTTTACAAAATATCTTAATTTAGATATTGCTATAGAATATTTAGCATTATTAGCATGTTCATTCATCCATAAAGAAATTAATGTTTTTGACTTGTTAAAATTTCCCAGAGTAACCGTCCTGAATAGTTTGTGTGAATGAATGGCAGAATGGATTGTAAAGAGTCAAACATTGCTTGAGATACAAGAGACATGAAGCTCTGCAGGGTCATGATTGCTCACGTCAGTCAGTTAAATGCCATGCGTGATACACGCTTAGGCGATCATGTATCTTTTGATACATGACTGATGAGGCAGATTTTTTTCCCGCAGCAGGTTGACATTTCTTTCTGCGGTAGACTAGTTGTTATTTACCCATAGCTGGGTGGGGGAGAAGAAGATTCATAACTTTCCCAAGGTTATTAGTACGTAATTGGAAATCGAATTCAATCCGATTCCTCAAGCCGAGCCGCTATACATGAGTCCACCGTACTTCCCTGAAGGAACACGAGAAATAAAAGCATTAAATATCATAACGTGGAAATGGCATAGAAGCATATGAAACATTTTGTTCTTTATTTATTCATTTTAAAGCAGACCGAATGGGGAATTTAAAAAACAAAACAAAAACAGAATCAGACGACATTTTGTAATTACAAGGTCTTTACCATTTTGTAAAAAATGTAACACATATTAATTTGCTTTTTATGTAATGGTATAATACGTGTCTTTTCGAGCGCTTAGCCTGCCGGTAAATAAGCGAGTATTTAATCAATTGACTTAACACCGTTTTGGCTTACAGCCATATCACGTTGAAAAAAAAAGGTAACATATATTAATTTGCTTTTTATATAATGATATAATACGTGTCTTTTGCTATAGAGATTCGAGCGCTTAACCTGTCGGTAAGCAGGCGAGTGTTTAATCAACTAACCTAACGACTTCTTGGTTTACGGCCATATCACGTTGAAACACCTGTTCCCGTGCGATAAATGAAGTTAAGCAACGTTGGGCCTGGTCAGAACTTAGATGGGTGACTGTTTGGGAATGCCAGGTGCTGTAAGCTTGGATGTGTGGATGGTGTAATTGATAATGGTTCGAAATTGTGAATCGAAGAGCCGAGTTCCAATTCTTATTGGGTTCGTTATATTCACTTACGCACAGGTACCCTTGGAAAAGGTATGAATCCAACTCTTCTCCCGCGGCTATGGGTTAATTATTAAGACTTGTATCATTAAATCATTATTATCTAAAAAAGAATTCTCATATTTTCTGGCTTTAAATAACCCGCAAAAGGGTTGATAAACCGTAGAAAACGTATCAATCAATCAATAAATAACGACTTCTTCTTTGTGCCACATCCCTTCATGACATAGGCAATCATGACTCTCCACAACTTCCTATCTCGTGTGGCTTTGGGCTGTTTTTCTCCCATTGCTAATGTCCCTCCGTTCCGTTAGCCATTCATATGAACCCGTTAGGTGCATTGCCTTCCCCTACCTCTCTTGCCCTCAGTACGCCCCGTGAGGGTTAAGTTTTCCAATCCTTTCTTCCTCATTATGTATCTAAAGAATTTCACTTGTATTTTCATGATTCTGAGTAGAAGTATTCATTCTGTTGCTATTTACTTTAAGACTTCCTTGTTGCTTACTATCTCCGTCTATGGAATTTTCAGTAACCCTCAGTAGAACCACATTTTTGCTGCCTCTAGTTTTCTCCCCATCCAGGGAGAGATTGTCCAACATTCAGTGCCCTAAATGAGAATGGATACCAAATAGCAATCCAGCACTCCGATGCGTGTTCGAATTTCGGTGTTAAATTTACCAAACAATCTTAAAACTCTTCCCGGATATTCAAACTTCTCCTCTTGCTTCATGCGGACATTATCAATTTGTAACTCGCATTTTATGCTTTTTCTATTTTGATGACCGTACTTTATGTCATTTTGCATTTGATGTTTGGTCAAGGATGAGAAATTAAGAAGAGCCTATCTTAAGATGAACGCAAAATAACATCGACATCCAGCAACAAAAGATGAAATTTTTCTCCTGATATCATCACGATTAGAATGTGGGATTCTTTTTACTGAAGCATTAATTAGTATTAACGTTGCTTTAGAACTTTTTACATTTTTTTAGTGATTCTTTAATTTGTATTCAACTGATGCCTTATTTTTTACAGTTTACCTTTAAAGCAAATTATACCATTTAAAAAAATAATTTAATATATGTTCATCATTTTATAGTTGAAAAGGCTAAATGTAACCGTAAGTTCTATGCTAACACTTTCTTCTATCGTATATCTCGCTTGTAGAACTCTCTTCCAGCTTCTTGCATTCTCACCAACTTTGGTATATTTTTTACCGAATTTCACCCAATGTAAAGCACGTGAGTCACTCAAGGTAGAGGGCTGCCATCTAAATTGTAATGATGAACGAGATGCATGCTATAAATGGGAGGGAATGCAGTCGGAAGTGAATATTATACGGATAAGGAATAAAAATAAAGATTGAATCTTGATTTAAAGATTGATTAATTGATGTATATTTTTACGGCTTATCAGCATCTTACTTGCTAGAATGGCCGTCAGGTCTCATATTACAGTTGAACCGTAAGTTCTATGCTAACAGTTTCTTCTATCACACTTCTAGCTTGTAGAAATCTATCTTCCGTCTTCTAGATTCTCAGTTAATTTTGATCTTCAAAAGTTTAAATGCAATGTCAATTGTTATTTTCTGTCTCCATAATTTTTTTGGTTCGTTTATCATTATCTCCCCTTAATAGTAGTTTTCTTTTCTCGTATACCGTCTAACACTCAGTAACCCCCTTGCGCCTTAGCGGCTTTACTACCTTGATTTGGGGGAAAAAAATATGCTATTATTCTTTAAAATTTAACAATTGCAGATTTATGCATCTAGATACATAAATCTGTAATTGTTAATTTCGAATATGCAATGAAACGAGTTCTAAATCAGCTTCAGCAGTATACAGTATGTCAGTTATGTGCTATGCGTGATACATGCGTAAGCGATCATGTATCTTTCGGTACGTGACTGACAATGCAGTTTTGCTATTTCTTTCTGTCATGGCTGGGGTCAGAGATTTCATACCTTTCCCAAGGGTATTAGCACGTAAGTGAATATAATGGATTCGACTGGAATTCGAACTCGGCTCTTCGATTCCTCAATCCGAGCCGCTATCCATTACTCCGTGTACTCGAATGCAAAATAATAATGGGGCGCACTATACACAGGTAATTTTTGAAGAGGTTAAAAGTTAGGTATTTTTAGTGATCGGTTGCACATGTAAATCTTTTCTGTCGGGGATGAAATAACCTAAACTATACACAAAGTATTACAAATTCCAATGCGTTAACGACAAAAAGCAAAACTCCCCTGTGCAATATGTATTTATTCAAATTCAGAATAAATGGTTATTAATAATATTAATATCCATAGTCTGAATTTGGACATCTAAAAAAAATATCAACACTCATTTTCAAAGGAATGACATCTTTAAGATTTCGTGGATTTCATTTTTGGTGATAAAAAAATAGGCAGCTGATGATTATTCATTTAATAAAAAAAACAGAAGTGGGATGAATAAGAGCTGTGATTATATTCTCTGTGTGAATGAATTCGAAATAAAGTCGGAGAATTTAGAGTAGTGAGGATATTTAGTTTTGAAAGTAAAACTGCTTCATTTATTTTAATGCAAATTCCTGTTATGTGCAGTTGGCTATCGAGCGGAAATGACGTCATGCAATAGCCGGAAATATTACTGTTGGAGTGTTGAGTAACGAGAGAAAGAGTTGTTCTAATGCACTATGGGCCCCTTTCCTGGCTATCATTATCAAGCTAATGTCGACATCGGCAAAAACCAGCACAGCAAAATTTTCTAAAAAGGCAATAGAAAATATTCTTTTCTTTCTTTATTTGTTCCTCTGATTCTTTCAATTTTGTTTATCTTTTTTTTTTTTATAAAATGCCTTTCAAATTTTGTCTTACCTTTTTTTTCTTTCATAATAGGATAAACAAGACTCACTAAAATCCCGTTATGGTTTTCCTATGTCTTCATTAAATGAGGGCTAATAGAGAATTTCTTTAGAATTTTCTATTTTGAAATATTTTTACTACATTTTTTCTTTCGTTTTTATTTTTGTTTTGTCTTGTTTTCCGTTTTACTTTTCTCCTCTTTTCTCGATTATTTCTTCTGTATCCGTTTCTTACAACAGTCTTTTATTTCTTAGCCTTCGTTTCTATATATATATATATATATATATATATATATATATATATATATATATATATATATATATATGTGTGTGTGTGTGTGTGTGACTACTATTACGTATTCAATTACTGTCTCAAAATAAATCATTCATTGCCTGACATTTCTCACATATGAACAGACACCGAAATAAAACTTCGTGTTCTTTCACCTATTAAGTTTTGAACATTTTCAATTCTGCCAATCGAAGAATTCCTAAAAGTTCCTTGATTGTTTCCAATTTAATTACAAGTGAATGTAGCTCAATGGTAAACGCATAGAATCAAAGATTAAAGCATTACGATTTCTTTAACGTTTTCCCAGCGCTTTCATCTTGAAAAAGAAAAAATGTGATTCTATCATAAAAGGCTAATAATCTAGTTTTCATTAATTAATCAAATCGTTGAAAAACCTTGAAGAATGATACAGAAAACATAACTGCTCGTATCCGATAGCTAAAGGATTTTGAACAGCGTAGATAACACAGAGTAAGAATCTTTTTCGCCCTTGACTGTAGAAGAAGTTCTCTTAGCGAAATAGTGTGCAAAATGCCAAGAAGAATATAGTGGAATTTAGGTGTTAGCGCATTTGGTGTGTTTCACTTTAGATCGTACAGAGAAGCTATGTCCATGGTGGTCCTAGACGGATATAGAGATCCCTGATTCACCCGAAGACAAAGGAAACCTCGATAGACAAAAAATATGTCAGTCCAACTGCTTCTGGGCTGCATGCGTGACAAACGGTTGCATTACAGAGCTAGATGTATAAACACGCACCCCAACGTTAATAAGGACTTTCTCTAAGACGTCGTAGGCGAGTGTGTAAGGACTGTTACGTGTTGATAATTGTAACAAAGGAAAAAAAATGATTTACCACAACACAGAGCTAAATCACAAACAAATGTTCAATTTACTAAAACACAACATAAAATATATACAAGATAAACAATTGTGGCCTACAAAACAGAAAACACAGAGTTACTGGCGAAGTGTTACGAGGGAGAAGGAAAGGGAATCAAATATCTTTATCACTTTAGGGCTAGTGAAGTAATCAAAGTGCTATATTTGGAAATCCACAAAGGTGTGTAAATAAATATTAATTTTTAGTTTGGTCAATGAAAATTAGTCAAAATTCTATTTACCAAATTTGTTCCATGAAATTCTCTTTTGGGTTTTGGTTGGTCGGCAACTTTTTATAGAGATTCTTTCAGCTGGATATAATAGTCCTCGAATCAAAAGCCGGAGTTGATAACAACAGAAATTCTTTTTCATCAACTGACAACCCTTTTCCAAAATCTCATTTTTGTAGGGGCTAACACCTAATTTGCATATTTCTAGATGTTTCTCGAATCATCTAGATTTTTCTCGAATATACTAGAATGATCTAGAATCTTCCGAACATTCTATTTCTAATTTCTCTATTTTACAACTACTTCATGAATGAAAACTTTTTTGTAATAACAAGTAGGACTCAATGGAATCCCTTATTATAGAAATGCATCCTCGTAACAAGGACCACGTTTCGAATGAGGAATCCGAGGCCGCCTGCAGACACTGGACGGCTAAATGTGAGAAAATGTGTCTTGTGCTTTCTAATTTAATATCCGTATGACGAGATCATTCCTGATTTTTGCAATAGTGAAATTTACCGAACTTTCGGAGGACGTCTCATATATCAGGCATTTGTCTGAGTTTTAGTCAGAACAGATAAACCCATTTGTCAGTTTTAAGAGAAGGTTGACATCCCATTGCAGGTTACTTAACTCCTAAGATCAATAGAAAGAAGAGAATTAATTT